GACGGTTAACATGAGACGGGTGAGGCTATGGAGAATACAGGCGAATCAAGTCTACGATGAATGGGAGTGGCTAGGGTGGGGCAGAGCAAAGTTGTGGTGGACTGGTGGGGCAGGGGAAGGTCAAGGACGGGTCTGGCCGGGGTGGGCTGGTGGGACAGAGAGCGGGCAGGGGTGGGGCTTGAGTGGACTGGTGGGGCTGGGATGAGCAGGGGGTAGGATGGGGTGGACTGATCGAGCTGAGCAGAGGAGCGGGCTAGGTGAGCCAGGGGATGTGGAGGCGGCGGCCGGCGGATTACTGGTGGTGGATGGAGGGGGTAGCGGTGGTCACTATTGGTCTGAGTAACTGTAACTATGTGGGATTTGGCAACCGTAAATGTAGGTCAGATAAATGTAGGTCGGATATTAGTAAATGTAACTGGTCGAATTTGATAAATGTAACTAATGAATCGGGTAACTATAATTGGCGGATTGGGTAACTAGCAAGTCGGATAACTATAATTGGCGAGTCAGGTAACTGTAAATGACGATTGAGTAAGTGTAAATGACGGATCAGATAACTGTAATTGGTGGCATCGAATAATTGTAACTGGTGACGATGAGTCAGTGATGATTTGTTGGTCACTAACGATTTTTTTGTCTTTGACTGAATTTGTAACCGTGTAATTGGTCACTGTCGAAACGAGTCATTGTGATATAGGTCACTGTGACATAGGTCACTGTAGCGGGTACTGTAGCAAGTCAATTTGGGCTTGGGCTTAGTAAGGGTGCAACAATCCCTTTAGTATTATTTAGTCCCATTTTTGAAACTTAAAAAAAAAGGTCTCTTTTTTATCCACACCTCTTTTTTTAGTAATATTTTAGACATAACCCATTAGTTTAAACTACACTTTGAGATCAACACGGACACAACCGCCTCAGTAGAAGAGTTGGATTTTCCATTGAGAAAAGACCTTGCCACCCATGTTTGAAACCCTGCTTTGGCAGTTTTTTGTGAACGTAATGCCTTCCATACACCTTATCTCTTAAACTTCACGTGTTTACTTTTCCCACACCAGTTAGTGAGGAGGCAAACATCACAATTGCTGAGTTCTTGAGAGATGCTTGAGCTGAGATGATCATGAGCGGCTCGCGAGCTTTAGTCAAAGTGTTCGAGTCGAACTCGAGTTCAAATATTGAAGCTCGAACGAGTTCGAGCCGAACTTGAGCATGTATAAAATTTTTGAGAGCTTAGGTAAGTTCGGGCTCGGATCGACTCGATTACACCCATAGTGACTTGGACAGCATGAATATTCTCGAACACACATCAAAATTGATTATTAGTTTGTTCTTAACGAATGGCGCATGAATACTTTCATGTTCATTATATTACTTCACAACTTCGCAGATATTTTCACTAAAAGATCTGAATTCATGTTCACTTTTAAAATCCAAACCTTGTGGAACCTACTTTGCCAAAGCTAATTAATATAATACATGTTAAACTTTTTTATTTTTGAAAATAAAATGTGTAATCCCGTATATTTATAAAGTTTCCAGATATAAACACATATAATTGCATTATTAAGTAAAATAATTAAATATACATTAAATACGAAATTTTCACTAATTAGTTATACTAATATAGATTATCTGGCCTGTAATCCTTATCCGACCGAAGCTTCAGATTTCAATCTTGTTTGAACCGTTTTCTCTTTACTAACTGATTTATGAGATAGTTATGAGTGTCAACTATTGCATTCGTTGCATTGGACATTGCAAATTTACATAGGTGTTAAATAAGAAATGTAAAAGTTTTATAGCAGAACTGTTTATAAAGTTAAGCAGATCACAAGCAATTTAAAATAGGTTTAGTAAGTTATAATCAAACTTTTAAAAGTGAACAAAATTATGGGTAAATCTCCTCTTAAGTCTTGATTTTCATGTATTTTTTTTTTTGGATGAAATGTAAATTATATTAACACCCAGAAAAATTTAACATATACATGTGTCCTACTTCTACAAAAACCTCCCCACCCCCTCATAGTGAGGGGGATAAGTGTCACGCCCCGGACCGCATCCGAGCGCGTGTACAACCGCCGTATGACTAAATGACGTCACTCGCAAGTCAACATGACTTAATCATACAAGGCGTCCATGAACATTGTTCATACCATACTCAGTAAGTAAACATACATAACAACATCACATATTTGGATTGAACGAATCGCGGAAATATTCAAGTTCAACCGTGGGCCACATATGGCCAAAACGTGGGCTCGCAGGCCCAAAACAAATGTACTTATTACAAAGTATCCATGAGCATAGTTTATAGTTTAAAACGGTAAAGGAAGCACGAACCACGTCTCCCTTCAGATTACTTCACCGAGCAAGGTGAGAATGCAAGCTTGAGCTTCAACCTGAAATGGTGGGGCCCCCCGAAGGGGTCAGTACAAGTACCGAGCGAGTAGCAGGCTAAATGTAGAATAACTAACGTTTCAAGTATAAGACCCAAACATAGGGTGGTACATATACATATAGTTCTTTCCCCCAAGTTATGAAATATATATCATTATATATATATACACTTGGAAATACCCGACCCGTAGGTCATTGTTTATTTGGGAAATAATATAGCCGTTAACCTTGGCTTAAACCCCAACCCGCCCGTATACCTACGAGTGTATAGAACTCCTCCTGGTTCAAATCATCTTCACATAAGGACACCACCCGGTCCTAAATTACAAAATAATAATCTATGAGTTTTGAGGATACACGCCCGATCCTTGGGTACTCCACCCTATAACCGAGTTTTGAGGATAACCGCCTGATCCTTGGGTACTCCACCCTATAGCCGAGTTTTGAGGATACACGCCCGATCCTTGGGTACTCCACCCTATATAACCGAGTTTTGAGGATACACGCCCGATCCTTGGGTACTCCACCCTATAACCGAGTTTTGAGGATAACCGCCCGATCCTTGGGTACTCCACCCGACTTATGATCTACCACATATCATCCTAGATAAGGTCTATATCATAATCAATAATCAAGGCTAAACCAAGTCTTAAGGCCTAAGCATAATCATCCATGCAATTCATGCATTAAAAATCAACATATAGGTAAAACAGTGCCAAACCGGCGCCGGTTTTGACATAACCGGCGCCGGTTATTAATTAATTTAATAAAACCGGCCATGCCGATCCATAACCGGCGCCGGTTTTGCCTATAACCGGCGCCGGTTACCCCCTGGGCAACCAAGTCAACATTTTCGTTGACTCGCCATTTCAAACCCGATGTGTGTCAAACTTAATCCCAACGTGTATTATGTTATAACCAAGCATTTTATGCCCCTTTTATCCCTTGAAACATCATATATGTTTTTATAAACATTTTCATATCATACTTCATTTATGATATCAATGGGTCATACATATAAGTCCAATCACTTTGGATAATCACATGTTTAAGCATCTTTTAAACATCAATATGAACACATATAACATTTACTTAGGTAATCTCATAATTAACCCAAGAGTTATAAGACATTAAGCCGTCCACTCACCTCAAATGAGCGTGATGAAGTTCTACCCTTCTCGGTTGAACTCCGGCCAAACTCCGGTGAACTTTGACGAACTCCGGCGATAACTCCGGCGACTCTTAAACTTCGTGGTGGCTCTTAAATCACCCTTGACAAGTGCCTAACAAGGTGTTATCATCACAAAACTCATATCATTTCAAACAACCTTTAAAAGGTTATTTTCCGACTAACCGGTCGTTTTGGCTCCTAAGTCCGTTCTTGGACTTAGAGCTACTTTCGACCTCCTTGTTCCACACTTAAACCATGGAGAACATCCTTAAGGGTATTTCATATGATATATGAGTCATATGAAATCAAATATGAAAGAAAAGTTGTTAAGGAGCTTCTCACCTTTATTCTCAAGGTTTTTCTCTACTTGTGCAACTTTTTTCTTCTTCCTTGAGCTCCTTGCTTCCTTGAGCTCTCTTGGCTATGGAGGATGATGGTTGTAGAGTCCTTTGCTCTTGATTGGGGGTGGGCTGGCCGAAATGATCAAGGAAGGAGGGTGGGGGATTGCATTCTTGTCTCAATAACAAGGATGGTGTGGGAGGGTCCCTTTGGTTGTCAACCATGTCTCACCCATCTATTCCCACATCCATCCCATGCTCCACATCCCCCAAGTCAAGTTCCCAGCACAAAAAAACGTGGGGTGGCCCCCACTCATGTGGGAAGTCACCCCAATGTGTCCCGAAGTGTACAATCGGTCCCGAAAGTTGTATTTCTCGGACTGTTTTAATCATATTTTATTTTATTGGGTAAAATAAAATATAACCCTTACTTCCCGTCATAATGGGCCTTTAGGATGATTATACATTCCCCCAACTTTAATTTGGAAGTTCCCGAAATTCATTTCGGACGGTTATCCGATAAATTATCCAAAACCGGTAATTGGGCCTCGTTTGACCAATCGGTCAACCCAATGCCTTTCTTATGGTCCAAAGTGAATGTCCACTACCATATAACTATTATCTATACCAAGATGAATAAAATAGGCGATCTTGAGAATATCGGGTGTTCCCGCTCCCGGTGTGGGCCCCACGTGCAATTTACTATTCACGCAAAAGAATTAGCAAAAATTTACAACCTCGTAAATTCATTAACCATTTCATAAGGTTCAATACATAATTTACATAAAAGTAAATACACTTGGGGACGGTGCTACAATAAGAGGTTCTTTATAAGAGACAAGTCTAGTCTAAAGCCACACACTGGCCAAAAAACAAAATCAAAATCGGTGCTACATGTTGCACACACAGAGATTAAAATCAGCCCAAAAAAAAAGGAGTCAAAAGAAGTCAAGGTGTTGCAAGGGCACACACGCTAGTACAAACAAAAATGTTATCTATATGCCCATCCCAAGTTTGGACTTTGACACTAAATGTGCAGTGTAATAAGCAATGTCGCAGTCTAATAAGCAATGTCGCAGTCTGCCAATAGGTAGCTTTGGTCCATCAAAATTTGATCAGGTCATATGGGTAAATACTAAAAAGTATTTTATATACCATATGCTTGACCTTTGCTATCACATTATCCTCTGTTTTTGTTCCATCATCAAATAAGTTCTCATTTCTTGTATGCCAAATATAGTAGACCGATGCACAGAACGCAAGTCTTGCCGCTTTTGCTTTCAATGTTGACCCTTTGTGGGTCTTCGTGATCCATTTGATTGAACTAAGCAGAGTAGTCATTTCGTGCCCAAGTCCCATCCATTCTCTAATCTTGTCCCATACCCTACAAGTGAAGGGGCAAAGGAAGAATAAGTGTGGGATTGTTTCCAATCCACTTTTACACAAGTCACATCTATTGACCATGTTTAGGTAACCGAGGCTATCCTGGGTGGGTAGTCGGTTCCTTAAGGCCAACCAAACATTAAAAGAGAATTTTGGAGGAATATAGGACTTCCAAATGAAACTCATTGGAGTCCTAGGGTTCCCTTTAGTTCTTAAAAGGTCATATATTTTGGCCGAGACTAACTTCCCATTAATGGTCCTAGCACTGAGGCCCATAATGGTGTCATTCAAGTTGTTAAAACATCCACGTATTTTATCTCGTATTTGGGCCAGACGCTTCATTAATTGGGAGTCTCGGCTGTGTGGGGAGAATTCCCACACACTCCTTCCATTAAGATATACGCCATTAACCCAACGGACCCATAGTGTGTCCTTTTTCTTATGGACATCCCATAAAGTGCGGGATAGGAGGCTATCATTCCAAGTTTTGGCATTATGAATGCCTAAGCCCCCTTCATCTTTAGGGAGACAGATGTCATCCCAAGCCACTTTAGCAAACTTACCTCCCCACAAAAAAATTCTACAAATGGATACTATCCTATCCAAAATAGTCCTTGGAACCGGAAAAATTTGGAGCCAAAAAGATTGGACCCCTTGGATCACCGATCTAATAAGCTCTAATTTCCCGGCATAGGATATCGTTTTCGTATTCCAAGCGCTAAGGAAGCCATTAATCATATCAAGTAAAGGTGCATATTGAGCAACCGATACCCTTAAAGGAGCCAGGGGAATTCCGAGGTATCTAACCGGGAAGGTCCCTTGTCCATAATCCACAAGACTTAATATATTATGTAATTCGACGTCTCTCACCCCACCAACGAAAATATTTGATTTTCCATGGTTTACCCTTAAGCCCGATACGTCACCAAACTCTTTAAGAGCATTGAATATTATTTCTATGGAATGTATGTCACCTCTCGAAAAGAGCATCAGGTCATCCGCATAGGCTAAATGGGTAATGCCCAAGGATGAGCATTGAGGGTGGAAATTAAAATTCCCTCCTTTGGTTCTCACGTTGAGCAACCGGGAGAAATATTCAAGGCATAAGACGAATAGCAATGGGGACATCGGATCCCCTTGCCGTATGCCTCTTTTACCGTTAAAGAATCCATATAGTGAACCATTCAAGGAGATCGAAAAAGAGGCTGTGGATACACATTCCATGATCCAACCAATAAATCTAGGTGGGAAGCCCAAACCCCCTAAGACATGTCGAAGAAAATCCCACGATATTGTGTCATAGGCCTTACGCAAATCCACCATGATCATACACCTTGGTGAAATTCGTTTCCTATTGTATCCTCTAACAAGTTCCTGGGCTAGGAAAATGTTATCAAACATTAGGCGGCCGTCCACAAACGCTCCTTGGGCTTGATTTACCAACCCTGAAAGGCACGGGGTTAGTCTGGCCGCAATAATTTTTGTGATAACTTTATACATGACATTCGTACAAGAAATGGGTCTATAGTCCGAGACTTTAGGGGAGTGACTAGTCTTGGGGATAAGTGCTATAACAGTATGATTAATCTGTTTAAGCAACTTTCCCGTTCGAAAGAACTCCTTAATAGCCCGAACCATGTCATCCCCAATGATAGACCAATTGGCTTTAAAAAAAGCCGAGGAGAACCCATCCGGCCCTGGTGCCTTATCATCCCCAATATCAAACAAGGCATCTTTGATTTTCATGTATTATTGTTATTAGCTAGCGGGTGATAGCCGTGATCTATTAATTTGCCCATATTTGCTTTGGGAAATATATCCGCTTGAATTGGTTTGGTTACTTTTCAATCATGAGACATTCAAGTACAACACCATCAATATAGGTCGCGGTGTGAACCCCACCAATACTCCGTACTCGCTCGGTTCTTTTTCATTAGTCATTCTTTCATTTTTGGGACGTTTTTTTTACTTGTCCTCTTTTCCCTTTAAGAATAGTTTTTGAGAAAATACCCTCACTTTTATTACTCTTATCTCACTTACTTTTTACAAACTACTTTCTCTTTCCTACTTTACCATTACTTTACTCTTCTCAATACACTCTCTTTCTCACTTTGGGTATGTTTGGCAAATGGCTGTTAGCTATTGTTGTTAGCTGGTTGTGTCAGCTGTTTCCTAACAGCTGGTTGTGTTAGCTGTTTTGACCGGCTGGTTATGTTAGCTGATTATAAATATGTTTGGTAAAATTGGTTGTTTCGAAATGACTGATAGAGTGTAAATTGAACCAGCCGAATGAATAAGCTGCCCCCTTAGCTTCTTCAACAATCCATTTTTTCAGCTTTTCAAACTCAACAAGCTAATTTTAAAAGCCATTTACCAAACATCATTATTAGCTTCTTTGACCAATCAAACAGCTGAAATGGGTCAAACAAGCTAAAAGCCGGCTGATAAGCCATTTGACAAACATACCCTTTATCATCACTTTACTCATTTTAATTTTTAATATACCATCTTTCCTACTTTATCATTTACCGTACGCACTCTATACTTACTCTACTACTTTATTACTCCCGACAGTCCCCGAAAGAAGTTCCCAGTCACTATTCATTGGTCAACTTGAGTCACTCCTAATCAGTTACTTTATATATCAAATTTTGATCAAACTTAAATTTTCTTGATCAGGCTTTGTAGCGGTTTTAATGTAGTTTCTGAATATGTAAATTTAATTTACTAAAAATAATCCAGGTGTGAACAGGGATCGAGTTGCTTTATCATCAGTCAAGCATCGTAAACCGAACGAGATCTTCTTTTGGGGACGGAGGTAGTATTAAAACTCGTTTCAAACCCTAAGAAGATTAATAAAAAAGAACGAAGCGAGTATCATTTAACGCATTATTTGTTCATTTTGTTAGTAAATGAAATCAAATCGTACTCAATGACTTAATGTAAATGCCTAAATGGATATTTACTTTTTTAGTCACAGTAAATTAATTTTTTAAGAAAATTATTCATATCCTAGGTAACGTTCAGGTTCACGATCTGGTTTGATATACTTGTATATCATTCCTCTGTATTTTTAGGACTGAAAATAGTTCAAAATATAATATCTCACGTAATATGTTTCAATTTTTAATAATTAAAATTTACATATTCAGAAACTACATTGAAATCTCTTTGAAATTGCAGACTCTAAATTAGAATATAATTAAAAATTGACATCCTAATTAAACAAATAAAATGAAACTGTGATAAAAAAAGTCAAATTTACGGGACATACTTTATAGAATCATAGTCAAAGTCAAATTCTGAAGTGAAATAGTGTTTTGCGCAACTAAACCAAATTCTAATTAGTGATAGTATTCCGAATGAAATAGAGAAACAAATCATAATTAAAGACCCCAAATTTGTTTTATATTCCGTACAAAAAACAGATTGGACTCAACTTCCGTCTATTTTAACGGAGGTGATAAAGTACATCGTACAACAAACTCTAGACGCTAAAAAACGTCGCCGCCGGTGAAAACTGCCGGCAAACTGACAAACCGGCGGCTTAGACACAGTCTACTGTACTGCTAAAAACGAATCAGCACCGGAAAAATCACCGCAGTCTTGGAAATAATCGTCGACGCCCAGGGTTCCAAGGTCCTGAAATGATTCATTAAACACCTCGAAATCGCCGCTAAAGAATTCATTGGCGAATGCATTCAGGGAGAAATCGTCAAACGGCGGGACCAAATCCGATGGAGTATCGTCGAATAACGCCTGCTCCAGATGTTGGGTATCGAAGAAGTTGTCGATGAACGGAATATCCGACGGCAAATACTCAGAATAATCCGTTAATACGTTGGTTTCTCCGTGACATTCCTGAATCGGCGGCGGAGGCTTCTGCAAATACATCGGAGATGAAACGTTTGGCTGTTCAGATTCCTCGCTTGACTGGGCAGTTCTGAATCGGAGAACTGACGTCGGAGACGAAACGTTTCTTGACTCATCGCCGGAGTCATAGCCGGAGTTCGAAGTCGCGTTAACCTCCACCGCTCCCTTCGCCGGAGGATTGGCGAAGTTGGTCAACGCATCTGGCCCACGGAGCTTAATGGCGGCATTATCATAAACCATGGCCGCCTCCTCCGCCGTATCATAAGTCCCCAACCAAAGCCTGACCCGTTTAGTCGGGTCTCGGATCTCGGCGGCCCATTTCCCCCAAGGGCGTTGCCGTACACCCCGGAACTTCCTAATCCCGCCGGCGGAGTCCAAAGAGCCCGGACCATCCTTACTCTTCATCGCCTTCTGCCTCACCTGAAGTGGCTCCGCCGCCCTCCTCTTCCCGCTTTTCACATTTACCGCGTCGGAAACGGATCCCGGCCCGCGATCAAGCCGAATCTCGTGAATATACCTCCTCACGCGCTGCCGTCCGACGGACTCCTCCTCTTCCCCGCCGGAGGAATCGGTAGCGTCCGGGTCGGTAACCGATATCCGTACCGTCCGGCGACCATCGTGAAACTTGTGATTGGGTTTACTGAGAAACTGTTTCACAACGTTTCTGTGCTCTGTATATTTGACCGGAGAAAACATACTATAATCCATACTCATTCTCTCTGATTTGAGAAATAACAGACGATATATAGAAGTGAGGAGCAGAAAGTCAAAAAGATGGACAGATTCAGGAAAAATCTGACATCATTGAATGATGAAAAAGTATCGGAGAAGGAGATGCTCTGTTTTTTGCTCTGTTTTCGCTCTAGAGACTGAGTAGAGGAAAGTGAGTGACATAATGGAGCCTATAGAGGATGGACCGCCTTATATAAGGCCCGGCCCGGCGGGATTAATTAAATTTAAGGAATCGAATTAAATAAAATTAAAAATTTCTGCACCATTTATTGCGACAGAAGACTGTATTTCTTTTTTAATAAAAAAAATATAAATGCCTGTGGAAAGGCACGTGGGCGGGAAAGCCTAGACGTTGCAACCGGAGCCGGAAACGGTGGGGCCAACAAATCCGGCCACTGCCGACAGGAGGCGACACTGCCCCGATATAGCGTACGACACGTGTCATTGACGCGCCAGGGTGGTCCAATAAATGAATATTTGGCGGAGATGAGTCAGCGGTAGAGTTTATTTCTGTCTAGGATTACGTGTCGCCGGTCACGTGACACCCCGGATGCCCCGGTCCAGATTCAAATATCGCGCGAGCAATTAAAACCTATGGTAATTAGACACTAACAGCTAATTTCTTGACCGGACCATTAATATGTCTCCATAAATTCATGTTTAATAGTTAATACTGTGACTAATTACGAAAACGGAATCCGTCGCGGTAAGTGCCGGGTACTTTATGCGAACGTATACAACGCATGAATAAAAAAGAATGGAAATGCAAATCTCGGA